CACCTTCAATTTGTTGAGAAGGATTGTAGAAAACATCTGAGGAAGTATCGTCTCCACTCAATTGCAAGTTCGTCATGTGTTGGGGAGGACAATACATATGCCTTAATGGTAGTGTCTCCTCATCTATGTCTTGAAGCGGAGTTAGTGCAGTGTAGTCCCTAGTCCCGAATAAATTAACCATTTGATCAACCATGGCCTCAGTTTCTTCTTCCTCCTCGTCCACGACATCAACTTCATCTACATCCGTTGTTTCACCAACTTGATGTTGAGTCTAGCAAAGTAATAGATAAACCTCGATATAGTCGAACCCAGAGTGTTCATGACTATCAAACATTTGATCTACATCGTTGTCGTCTTGTATTTTCTCTTGAAAATACTTGACCTGATTGTTGTCAAAGAAAACGGGACTTCTGTATATGATTTGAGAGATTGGACCAGACAATATCTTCGACTCTATTCGCTCTTTGAAATGCAAAAAATTAGATTTTCTGCTCATTGTTAATCAGGTAACATCTGTATTTTGAAACCCAAAACCCGAATCCTCAGAGATGTAAGTGTCTCCATTAAAATGGGCATGAACAATATAATTTATTGTTCTAGACATATTTGAATAAAAGTGTAAGAGTGTAAGAGATGTGTTTGCAAATGATGATATGTATTTAATTTTTTCTTGAATGTATCCATAAATAACAAAAGTGTATGAATATAATATTCATAACTCGTAAAAGGGGGCGCCATAGGGGTTGGCTCCCCTTCCTTAATATTTAAGGGGGGCGCCATGGGGGTTGGCTCCCCTTCCTTAATATTTAAGGGAGGCGTCATAGGGGTTGGCTCCCCCGTGACATGTGTACAAAAAATGTAATTTGCATGCATGTAGAATGACAAGTGTAGTATATTTTCTACACACTTCATCCATCTCATTTTCTCCTCTCTACAACAATTAATATTTCAACTACACAAATTTAATTTTTACCTCTACCACCATAATTCAAAATTCAAATTCAAAATTTTTACTATAAATACTTCTCCTCCTCATCCTCAAAAACTCATCAAATATATTCCACAATTAAAATTCTACAAATATTTTCTTCATATATTCACACTATATAAGAAATGTCTCTGTTAACATTAGGCGGCGAAATGCATAGAGGAACACCAAGCTATGTAAGTATTTGTACCCGATAATACACAATGTTGTATTGATTTATAGCATTATAATGTTTTTACAAATACAATGTTGTAATCATTTGTTTTATTGTTTTGTAGAATACTCCTGACTTCCAAACTCGTGGGCATAAACATTTCCCACATGACCCGATAATTAAACCATTTTTGGAGCGCGCAGGATTCGGAGAAGTCATCAAAATAACAAATTATCTCCTAGATACCAAGTTCATTTTGGCACTGCAAGAAAGGTGGCGACCCGAGACGCATACATTTCATCTTCCAATAGGTGAATGTGCAGTTACTCTCGAGGACACTCACATGTTATTGGGTTTACCCATTAATGGTAAGGCGGTAAACGGTCTCACCAATCCTAGTGTGATAGAAGAACTCTTAGGGGTTGAACCAACCCCAAGAGATTTGAGGGGCCAAAAAATATTATTATCATGGCTCAAAAGAAATTTTGGAGAAATAAGAAAAACAAGAATTTATATTATGTTATTAATATGTTTATTTTTATGTCCCGATACAAGTGGCAACGCTGTCCACTCTATGTATTTAATTTTATTAGATGATATAGATAAAATAAGAACATATAGTTGGGGGTCCGCTACACTAGCGCACTTATATCGGTCTTTGTGTAACAACGCAATAGCAAATTCGGGAAATTTTACCGGATGTGGTGTTCTTCTTCAAACTTGGGGATGGTCAAAGATGACCAATCTAGCACCTATCCAACAAAATAATTTTGAATTTCCATACGCTAAAAGGTAATTACTTAGACCAAGAATGATCAATCTTTCATAGTCTTTTACTTAATCTATCCTATTATTAACAAATATTTTCTTTTCGATTTGTAGGTGGTCTTCACTTGGGATGAATTACGACAATTGTCTCCATTTTAGTATCACCCAATACATCTTATAGATCATTTGACAATTGTCCCCATTTCAGTATCACCCAATACAGAAATCTTATAGATCATTTGGGACAAGATGATGTAAGTACTAAATATTATTAGAATATAGTATCCTTAACATACCTATTTAGAATATAGTCTCCTTAAATATTATTAGAAAATATTAAATATTATTTTTTCTCTCCTACAGTTTATTTGGCGGCCATATCTTAGTCTAGAAGCCATTCATGAAGTTAACCAACACGACTCTGTAGTGTAGAGTGCAAAGGTGCCGATTATCAACTTCACCACCGTGGAGATGCACAACAGTGATCGTGTAAAGCTTCAGTTTGGAATGCTTCAAGATATTCCATGTCCGCCGAAATGCATCCCGACAAATATCACACCGGTAAAGTCTCCGACCAATGAAAATATTCTCTATGGACCAAGTATGCAAAACATGAGTGTCGTGAATGGAGACATCGCAGCCATTATCCGACACTGTGTTTTCATACGAGAGAAAACAAACTATCCAATACATGAATTGGTATAGAGAGGTATCCATTGGTTTCATTTTGCATCCAAGATATCTTGTTGACCCACGCCAACAAGCCTCATCATCAAGACCCCAACAACCAACCCAACCCCATTTCCAACCACCAACCCAACCCCATTTCCAACCGCCAACCCAACCCCCACTCACACAACCACAACTATATGAACATACCCCTAACCAATTCACCCCATTCACGCAAACTTATTCACAGTCCGAATACCAACAATATCCACCACAATACCAAACATACTCCATGGATACTACAAACCAAATAAACACCCAGTTTCAAACACCAAATCAACCCTTACCCGCCCAAACATTTACACCCATGTCACCCTACGACCAGCCAGGCTATCGTCCTAACATTGCCTCATCCAACCAACCACCCCAAAATAATTATGAAGGCATGGACAACCCTTTTGATTTGGATAAATGGACCGAAGTGATGCAATTTCTTGAAGACGACACGGTCGACCCGACTCTACCACAAAGACGACCAAGAAACGTACGTAATCGAGGATACGGTACGGGCGAACATTTAAATTGACCTAGTCGTAGAAATTAGTGTGTCATATCACTCATATGTACCCATTTGTGATTAAATAAAAATTGTAATTATTTTTTAATATTAAGTTTATTAAATACAATTTAATTTTTATTTATTATTTGGAAATTATTAATGAAAATATTATTTATTAATTATAAAATTATTTAAAAAATTTTATTTATAAAATTATTATTTATTAAATATTTTTTAATTGTTAATTATTATTTATTAAATATTTTTTAATTGTTAATTATTATTTATTAAATATTTTTAAACTTATTATATATTTAAAAATATTTTAAAAATTAGTTTAATAGATGCTCCAAAGGGGATGGCGCCCCGCTTATAAATTATAGGGTGCCTCCAAAGGGGATGGCGTCCCCCTATAATTTATAAGGGTGGCTCCAACAGCAATGACGCCCCCTTGTAATTTAAAAAAAAAATGAAAGTTGGGTAGATTGGTATATATGATGGAATGTTTGGTAAAATGAAATTATAGGGGTGGAATGTAGGTTATTTGGGTGAAAAATTCAAAATAAAATCTTACTATAAAATTACATGAGAAATTGAGAATTTCCCTAAATTGCAAAAGTTCGTACAAACAAGAACAAGGTTTATGAAACAACCACCACAAATTTAATTTTTTATTAACGACACTTATATGTAAAAGTCAAAATCGAGAAAAAAATATTAAATTTACCATTAAGTACATCTATAACTGATTTATTTTGTAAATGTCCATATAAAACAGTAACTATACTATCAATTAAATATTATTTGTTATTTTAATTGAACGTGGATATAATTTATCTTTGTAAATAGTTAAGCATGACTTAGAGCATCTTTAGTGCAGATTATGTAATATTAAATTCTTTAATAGTAACGGTAGTTATAAACAATTTATATTGGAATAAGAATGACATGACAATAAGTGAACTAACAATTAGTGAGAGTAAACTATATAACCAACGCATACTATTCATTCTCAATGACTCTTATTATTATTTTATTATTGTTTTATATTATTAAAATATCAATAAAGCTCCAACAACTCTAAAATGTGGAGTCAAGTTTTGATTTTTTATCAGCAACCATCATTAAAGTAAAAACAACTCAAATCAACTATAAATATTTTAAATTCTACAAATCACTTTGGGCCAACAAAAACTATCTTAGTTTTCCCAGTTAGTTTACTCTCATTAAAGATACTCTTATAAGAGACGCTGATGGAAACATAGTACACTCCAACATTGTTGATTTTTTTTATTGGATCTAACATTGTTGTTTTATATAGTTCAAAAAAATAACTTTTCAAAAAAGATGATAAATGAATACACTAATAAACTATAAGATAAAAGATCCTCGAAACATTTTTCTGGATTTCCAATAAAATCACAACATGACTTACAATTGCATAAGTTGTAAATAAAATGATTTGCAGACTTGCCCGTGTCCATTCCTGTGCTGTTGATTACAAATTACAGTCCTTAAATCCTACCAATAAAGCGCTGAACCTTTGGACTCAACAGATCCACCCTTCATAAAAGACAGCTAGCAGAAAGTTTCATCGCCATTTACAATCAACTGAACTGCTTTCTCAAATAAACAAGAGGGTGTCTTAGAAGAATGGAAACTTCCCACTCTGGCTTCAAAAGCAAAAGAACAGTTATAGAACAATTTTTAATTTACACTAGATACAAATCCGGGAGATTTAATTTAAGACAGTCACAGGTATTGAGAGAGTATAGAAGGGTATTGGCTGCTCACATGTAAGTCATTTGTTAATTGTTAATTTTCAAAAAGTGTGTATGACAATCAACCCCCAAAAGATCAAATTAACCACTTCTGTGATTGTACATGGCATAGTCCCTTTGTGATGAGGCATAGTCCCTTCTATGTAGTGATGAGGCGTAGTCCCTTCTGTGTAGTGAGGCATAATCCCTTCTGTGTGGTGAGGCATAGTCCCTTATGTGTGGTGAGGCATAGTCCCTACTGTGGGCATAGTCTCTTCCTTGTAGTGAGGAATGTGGGAATGAACCCTGATAGGGATTTGAAGCTACTGCATTTTGGTGAAGTGTTGGAAAAAAATCCCCGTGTATTTGTGACGAAACTCGATGGGACTGTATTGGAGGATTATAAGAACCTTGGAAAACAACTTGGTTTAAGCCAAAGGGAGGAGGAGGAGGAGGAACATTCCGTGGAACATAACTGTGATGCTCCTTAAAATTTGAACTATAAGTAGCAAACGGTAATTGATATTGAAATTGGTAGGGAAGTTGGGGAGTGGAAGAAGAAACACCATTGGCCATATTACTACTAGGTGGTACATGTACATGACCTGTGCTCCAAGGTTCAGTTCGGTGGAAATCTCGAACCTGGTTTTTACCTAAGTGTCGCTTTTGCTTTTTCGTTGGACTAGGATTTTGCAAAGTAGGAAGCTTATTCTTATTTCCAATGATGTTGCTAGTAGGAGGGTTATTCTTATTTCCAATGATGTTGCTAGTAGAAGGGTTATTCTTATTTTCATTGATGCTGCTAGCAGGAGGGGTATTCTTATTTTCATTGACGCTGCTAGCGGGAGGGGTATTCTTATTTTCATTGACGCTGCTAGCAGGAGGGGTAATCTTATTTTCAGTGATGCTGCTAGTAGGAGGGGTATTCTTATTTCCACTGATGTTGCTAGTAGATGTACCCTGAACTCCTAGAGTAGAACATGGTACATGTACCGGATCTGTACCCCGGGGTTTAGTTTGTTGAAAATCTGGAACCTGGTTTTTAGCTAAGCTTCTTTTTTTCTTTTTCGTTGGGCGGGAATTTCGCAAAATAGGAGAGTTATTCTTTCTTGGATTGATGTTGCTAGTAGAAGAATCCTCAACTCCTGGAGTTGAAACCATAGGTTTTCCAAACAAATGGTCCATTAACTCAATTCCCTGGATCTCGCCATTTAAAAAGCATGAAACATAGTCAATGGAATTATGGATACATTCGTAGATCGCCTTAAATCCTTCAGCTCTAACTGCTCTAGCGACATTTTGTGATGGATCTGTGAAATCCTCTATCTGTTCAAGAAAGTATATCATCATTCATCAACATAAACCCAATATCACAGGTATTAATCCGATTAAAATAGGGGTGGCGGCAACGAATTTACTTACACTCATTGAGTATTTCCATGATTTTAAAACCCACGACCCTTTGTTTGGACTCGTACAGTATCCATTCTGCCAAAGGTTTTCAACTGATGCTAGCTGCAATAGAAATGAAACTACCGAATGAACATATTTTCAAGAAATTGAAAGACAACATATTTCATACTATACCTTAGAAACAAAACTATAACCCGGCATTAAATTCTCTACCAAAAAATTGGCATTGATTTGATCCTCAGTGGAGAGTATCATATCATTGACCACAACTAAACTATATCTGAATCTTGCTTAATTAAATAACACAAGCTCAAACTTAATCACATTAGTTCGGTTTGGTTTGAATTGATTCAAGTTTTTAAAAATCAAACAAACAAACTCAATTAAATATGTGATCCGTAAGAAGCTTAGTTTATCCTAAACCCAAAACAACCCATTATTAATTACATAGATTACTTTTTCCTTCTCTCTTTAAGGATTGTGAAAAAAGGAAAGAATCCAAATATGGTTTGACACCAATCCAACCTACTCATGAACACTCCTACCTATATATTAAGACACTTTGGTAAAGCCTAAAATTTAGAAGAGTATGGGAGCAAATTAAACAAAACTTCTAAAAATTAAACATAGACAGAAGAAGAGGCTGAGACACATTAACCTAATTTTGCTGAGACTTGCCTACCATTAACATTGTGTAATAAAGGGAAAACAGAGAAGCCTGAACAAAGACCAAGACAGACTCAACTGGAGAGCAGAAGAAAGTTAAAGCTGGTTGGAGACCACACCGATGAAGTAGTTCAGAGGCCAGAAATGACCTAGCGTTCACTTGTCATCTTCTTACATTGAAAGAGATAAAATAAAACACTAATATTGAAGAGAAGAGGTTTATCAACTGAGAAATTGGCACTACTGAATAGCAATGCGATGGTCAATATTGGGCTCTCTGGCAACAACACCAGGTTTCTTTTTCCAAACAGAAAATCAAAATCAGAAAAATACTCAATAATGGATATGATAACTCAAAAATCACGGGGGCCAAAGGATGATGAAGATGGAGCACAAGGTTAGTGATCCAACAAAAAAAAAGGATGTTGAAGACAAAGCACAAGTTAGTGATCGGATGCGGGAACTTCTAAAACATCCATAACCCTTTCTCAAATATCAGAACAACAGTCACCAGAAAAAAAGTAACTGTTCAAATCGATAATGTTGAAGACAGAGCACAAGGTTAGTGGTCGGGTATGATGGCTTCTAGAACATCAACAGCCGCTTCCCAAATATCAGAACAATCACCACAAAAAAGTTACTGTTTGAATCAATAATAGGTCACAAAAGGGTGTGCTATCAAAACAAAAAAAGCTTAGATTAATGTCTAGAACACTTTACAGGCATGACTGTGAAACAGCACTTGTACCAGTAGTTTGGATGCAGAAGAATTATTATCATAGTATAAAACATGTATGAATAAAATATAATTCTCAGTAGGTAGAAAAGCATTGAAATTACCTTGACTAAAAGAGTAACGAAAAGCTTGGCCAAGGACTCTTTGTTTTTATTCCCATAGTTGGTATAAGTTTTAACAATCTTCGTCACAGACTCAAGATCAGCTCCATCTGAAACACATAATTACACACAAATATCAAAATTAATTGTAAAATCAATCCTAGAAACTAGTAAAAGATATTATACGAAGAGGAGCAAGGCTGCTAGGTGGTATTAAACGATTAACTACTCTGGTATATTATACAAATAGGAGCAAGGCTGCTAATTAATTAGTAGTTGTTAGCTGCAGTTAGTTAGTTAGTAGGGATAGTGAGTTAGAAACTGCAGTTAGTTACTATGAATGGTCAGTTAGGATTATTCAAATATGTATATTGGTTCTAGGCCTCACTGGATAGTACAGAAGATTCATTTGTAATTATGCTAAAATGGTTAAACCTCCGACTAACTTATTAATGAAAGGTAATTTCTTAATGAATCAGTACAGCTTACAGGCTATTCACCAACTACAGCATTCTGTTACAACAGCCCCCTGTGCTTGTTATGCTTGATTTCTCCCAACCTTCCTCTATTAAATGTCATGCATCAGGCAAAGGTATAGGCACTGTCTTGTCTTAAAGAGTTATCAGAATCTTCTCTCTCCAAGTCAGCAATATGAAAAAAAAACTAATGGCATCGGTTCTATCCGTCCAACATTGGAGACCTTATATGTGGGTGATAGGGATCCTACTTTCCCAAACCATTTTTGGCAAGAGCTCTTTAAACAAGGTACATAACTGAAATAAAGCACTGCCTATCACCCCGAAACAGATGGTCAAACTGAAGTTCTAAATAGACCCATAGAAACATATTTACAATAGTTTTACTCCAAGCAATCTAAGACATAAGCTGATTTCGCTCATTGGGCTGAGTATTGGTACATCAAAAACTTGCAGAGTGCTGCACATCAAACTCCTTTCCACGTGGTGTATGGAAGGGCTCTTCCCTCTATTTCTAGGTTTATTCTAGGGGGGCCTTAGGTGAATCAGTTGCTCAAGACTTGTTAAACAGAGACGAGGCCTTAGTTTTTATTTTTTAAAAGTTGTTGATTTATAAATATCAACAACTTTTTTACGCTAATGTATAAATTAAATAAATGCAGTTAAAAGGGGCAGCCAGGGAAGCCTTAGTTCAATTAAAGTATTATCTACAAAGGGCTCGTGATCAAATGACACATTATGCTATTCACATAGGAGGGAATCTCGTATTAATGAAGGTATTTGGATCTACTTGAAAATTAGGCCTCAAAAGCAAAGCAATATGCCTACTAGGATTAATCATAAATTGGCACCCAGTTACTGTAGCCTAAATTGGATAGATCGGGGCAGTGGCTTTTAGGTTAGAGTTGCCATCCTCAGCATGCATACACCCTGTGTTCCATGTCTGACTATTGAAGAAGGTCGTAGGGAGCAATACTGTCACTCCAGATCTGCTCCATGATTTTCAAACTGATGGAATCACTTCACAACCAGACAACAGGCAGACAAGAAACCAGGGTACCCCCATTCCTTAACTCCTCATACAATGGCAAGGTAAAGCTGTTGAAGAGACAACATAGGAGGACAAAGCGACCATTCAACAACAATATCCAGATTTAATTAAACCTTGAGGACAAGGTGGGGTTCAAGGAGTGGATGCTATTATAGGCCCCATAGTAATTATCCTAAAGTCCTTCAAGTATATTATAGGAAGAGAGGCAAGGCTGCTAATTAATTAGTATCATAGTTAGCTGCAGTTAGTTACTGGGAATAGTCAGTAAGGAGCTGCAGTCATGAAGCACGGACTCCAACATGGACACCGGAACACAACAAAGACACTGCGACACCGATAATGTCAAAACATAGCACACCGACACTGCTACATATATGATAGTATTTGAACTTCATTTATCCATTTATTATTAAAAGAGTTAAAAATATTCTAGTCAAAATTATTGTCTTTAATTTTTCATTAATAACATTGCTTCAATAGATGCTTAACCCTTTTAGATGTGGGAGAGATTTGTCTTAAAAAATGTATAAAGTGTGATGAAGCCAAGAAAAAAACAAATTCTTACACGTCTTGTATGAGTGTCACACGGATATCAGACACTGATTTTAAGAGTGTTGAAGCAAAGAAAATAAATCATTTGTTTGGGGATGTCTGACTTTTCTAACACTTGTCTGACTTTTTCGACACGTGTTGTACGGGTGTCATACAAGTGTCGGACACTGACGCACCTACTCTTAGAGGTGTCCGTGCTTACAAGGCTGCAGTTAGTTACTAGGAGTAGTCAGTTAGGAGCTGCAGTTAGTTACTGGGAGTAGTCAGTTAGGAGCTGCAGTTAGTTATTAGAAATAGCAGCTAGGATTCTTAAAATATGCATGCAGCTCTTATGGTTATAAAAAGGGCCACTCCCCTCCCTTAAAAGTTTAGGAATTCATTTGCATAGAGTCGTGTGAACTAGAAAATGATCTAGTGAGGGGATTAGATTCCTTTGTGTATCTTTTCATTTGTCATTAATAAAATCTCAGGGACAATAATCCCATTTCCTCAACCCTGCAATCTAGGAACCAATCAGGATGCAATTAGCTTCTAAATCGAAACTAGTATAACACAGCATTCAGTCATTCACATGTTTAGGAATACGCAAAATCCTTAGGTTATTCAGCACAGAAGCAACATAGATAAGTCTCAAGTAACCCACTTGTGACCTCAATTTGGCAATTTCATCTAGATGGTTAGTTGTGCTAATTTTCCGCTTAATATCTTATAAGTTCAATAGTTTCCAACAGAGATTACATATAACACTGGGTCTCTACTCTGTACTACTGACTACTAATATAGAAATTCCACGCAATCGTATCACCTCCTTAGCAAAGATGTCAAAAAGACCAGACATCTGGAGTGTGATTCGAGTGGCCCGATAGTGGCTGGCTCAATGTAAGGGTGGCTCCCACTTATCAACATGTTTTCAATTCATATTTCATATTTCATCCAATGGGGGAATGAAAAGGAAGAGGGAGAAATGAAAAAAATTGTGTGAAATGTGTACTACCCAAACTTTATTAAACATACTCTGCTAGTATGTTAATCTACAAACAAGCTAAGAACGTTTAAATTTGAGACAAAAAGTGTAAGAATATTAGGATTCCAAGTATTTTAAAAGTCCTTAAGTGATAATACTATTGTAAGAGTGGACTTGTATTAGTTGTAAGGTGTAATACATGAATGTTGGACCTGGACTGTTAGCATAGATAGGTGTTTACTGGTTGGGAAATAGATAAACACAATTTTGTTTGGGTCAACATCTTCAATCATAATAAAGAATGTTCATATAAATTCAAGGACAACTAAACTGTCTAAGCATTCAATTCAAAAACTTGAATACTGGCAGAAACTCTACCTTTTAGTAAAGTAGAGAATGGAGGTAATATGGGAGGATCGCAAGTCTGCAATTGAAATAAACGGAAAATGAAGAATCAGAACTCAATAAAGGAAATAACATATGGACAACGCATAACAAGGTACTATTTAGGAAAGACGTAAGTAATGTTAAATTAATTTGGTTCTAAGCTGATTCATCTATCACTCTTAGAAATGTATGGCTGCTTTCTAAATTTACCAGTTAATATATTATTTTTCAAAGATAATCTGACTACTTTTATCTAAAAAGATATGTTCGTGACATGATAAATGTGATGTTTACAATCACTTTTCAGTCACATCATATCCTCCCTGATATTTTACCTTGTAAACCGTGTGTTTTCAAGAAAAAGAATTCGAAAAACGTGTCCATTACACAACAAATCATCTCACATGTGCTAGTTGGTGATAAGTCACTTAGTGCTTAACAAAGTGTAATGATTGTTTAATGGACTAATAATGTGTTTATTGCAAAAAGCCCAAGTCTGGAAACAATAAAAGCTTTGACAAGAGTTTATAAAGAGAGGCCGCCCTCCACTTATAAGTCAATTTTGTAAAGATGAGTTAGGCTCAATATTAAAATCTAATGTGGTATCATCAAAGCCTATCAACCTATGTCACTCATCATTTATATCCACACACAAAGTCCAACCTTAGTACGTGTGATGGGTGTATTGGAAAAAACCTATGTCTCAGGGGATGAGTTATGCTCGATATAAAAACCTAAAAGTTGCTTTCTACTAAAAAATAACAAGTTACATGAAGAACAACTGAAATAAACTTAGCTTGTGCCAACAAATTATGCTGAACAAACATATTTATCAATATAACTATCCTGAAAATTACATTACCACCACAACTTGTGTTCAATAAATCTGTAAATTGACAATCAAAAATAAATCCATTGAATTGTTGGCTATCTAACCAACTTCAATTCTTGACTCCAATATAAAAAAAGTAATGCTTCCAAAATATATATATATATATATATATATATATATATATATATATATATATATATATATATATATATATATATATATACACTTAGCTTTGATATATATACATATATATCCATTAAATTGTTATCTATCTGACCAACTTCAATTATCGACTCTAATATAAAAAGTAATGCTTTCAATATATATATATATATATATATATATATATATATATATATATATATATATATATATATATATATATATATATATCCATTGAATTGTTGTCTTTCTGACCAACTTCAATTATCGACTCTAATATGAAAAGTAATGCTTTTAATATATATTCCATTGACTCCAGACTTACACCAAATCTCAACCGTTAATAAGATTCAATCCAATGATCATATTAAATAAAATTAAAAATAAATAAAAAATATATGACCATTTCTTTTTCCTAAAAAAATAGGCTACTATATGACCGTTTGACTTATTCACATTAACGGTTGAGATTTAGTGTAAGACTTTTAGACTTATACCTGATGTCAATGAATATATATATATATATATATATATATATATATATATATATATATATATATATATATATATATATATATATATATATATATATATATATATATATATATATATATATATATATATATATATATATATATATATATATATATATATATGTATGTATGTATGCATGCGAGCACTCTTCAACAAATATTTAAAATGTTCAATACCTGCAAATGAAAAGCAACAAATGATACAATCGACAAAGAATTCAAAGTCGCGTCTTTGGAACTGTTGATATTATGAGCCTTAGCCCATGATTTCATCTACAATATGCATACATAAGCACCAAAATGATTTCTAAGAATTAGTCAGTTATACAAAAGAATATATCCAGAGCAGTAGGTTTGGCATTTAAGAGAAAGTAAATCTAGCTTGTTACAATTGAGTTCACCAGCAAAGAACAATATGAGAAAAATAAGATTAAGTTGAAATGCTATCCACTAAAAACTTTTGAATGCCAATTCAATGGTAACTTTCTGACAAAACTGGTCACAAGGGTTGACTTCAATATTTTCAAACAACTCACCTTCAAACTAGAAACAGTGATACTTTTTCACCCATACACAATTTGCCACTGTCAACCCGTTAACCTAACAAAAATCATGTGTTTAAACATGACCAATTTGACTATTTATCACAATTTCAATATCACTACTGGTTTTCCATCTGTTTCTTTTTCTCACTTCAAATTGGTCCTAAATAAAATATTTACTCAAAAACACCCAAGAATTATCTGCAGTAGCATTTAAAACAAAGTAAAGATATTGATGCTGAACTTCATTGAAATGGCATCAAAACAACATAGGCGTCATATTTACCAGTAAAGATAGCTTTTGGAACCTTTCATCTATAGCAGATATTGCACGGATGATATGGGATTTTGCAATGCCATCCCAATTTCCGACCGATAAATCACATTCAATACCTGTTCCACAATCAGTAACTTTTATAATCGGTACATTGGCAGACAGGATAACTTCTAAAGCAGTAACATGCCCATTTCCTGTAACACAACAACCAATGATGTTATAATTCCTACAACAACTTCAAAGTTGTAGATTCATAACATACCAACATTGCACAATAAAAATGAATCAAACCCAATGTCTTAATCTTTTTAACTAGAGCATAACAAAGATAACAGAAACATTTATTTTTCAATTTAAAAATCATTTCCACTTATCAAAGCTAAGTTGTCCTACAACTTTCTTATTTAAAAACTAGCTATTAAGTGAATTTCAGTAAAAGTATACTCCAATAGCCAGCCAGTTTTATGTTGTAAATAATAATTTGATCCCTAACATTGCAAAATAGAACTTGTAGAAAACTATGTATCCACAAAACATAAAATCCCGCCACACCGAACGCTTTATATCGCCGTTACAGCGGATTATGGCGGAAAAACTCGCAATATATACCGATATTTACCATTCCGGCGAGTCCAAAAACATCCATGTATATCCGCCATAGCACCGCAATTGCGGATATTTGATAACATTGTGCGACATATATGCTGGTATTTGACCTTCAATTATCTATCTACTATTAAAAGAGTTATAAATATTCTAATCTAATTTAATGTATTTAATCCTTCATCAATCATCATTGCTTCGACACATCTTTAACCTTTTTAAGTGTGTTTGAGATGTGTTCAAAATAAAGGTGTGTCAAAGCAAAAAAAAAAAAAAAAAAAACTTCTATAAAACACTTGTTTGAATTTTCCGACACGTGTTGTTGAGTGTCAATTCCAACATGTGTCATATGAGTGTCATACGGGTGTCGGACACTAATTCAAAGTGTTGAAACAGAGAATAAAAAACTATTCTTTTGGGACACTGGTCTAAGTTTTCCAACATGTGTCGTACAGGTGTCGAACACAGACACTGCGACACACCTAATCCTAGAGGTGTTCATGCTTCATTGCCGACAACTATGTCAATCTGCACCTTAATGTGAAGCTACAATTGGTCTCAGTCTCTTCTGACTTCCTCATCCAACTTACTCCACTCATTATGTTTTGCAAATTAGTTATGCCATAACTTGGAGTAACCATATAAGTTATAGCCCTATTGTCATATCTCTACTACATATAGATCTGGCTTCTTTCAGGCATTGTATCTATACTACATATAGATCTGGCTTCTTTCAGGCATTGACGACCCTTGAGCAAAATCTTAGATAAGTTGTTATATTCTCTCAAATAATTTAATTTCGTACCTAGATAAGACTTTTGGCATTCAGTGAGAATCCCATATATATCACACTTATTATAGTACCCTTGCCACAATTCAATCATAGTACAACATTTTCCACTTGGGTAAAGTGTTAAGATTCCCACATCGAACAATATGTGATTTGAACATGTGTAAGTGGAGGCAATCCTCAAACTGGTTCTGTAAAGTTGAGTTAGGCCCAACTCAAATTTTAAATATGGTATCACAGTCCATCAACATTTCTAAGATAAAGATTATTAGAAGATACATGAAAAAATTTATAAAAGAACCATGATAATAATCATTTGTGCAGCAAACTCGAATAATATAAATCTCTGAGATCATATTCTAGAATAATTACGCTTCATGTAATGTATATATAGAACAAATAAGTTTTTACCTATGAACTCCAATTAACTCAGACATATTAAAGCACGGGAGATTTGATAAATAATACAAGAATAAGTGATGTTTATTGCAGAACTTTTGCATTGTCAAAAGCCAACAGTAAAAGCTGGTAGTATGATAAGCTTACTTTGAATTGAGCGTAGTTTCTTGCTAAACCTCCGAAGGGTGTCAATCTTCTTCTGCCGACTAATTTCAATGGAATCTTTACTGAAATTGATAGACAAGTCAAGATCACTTTTTTCATTGAAAATGTCCATTACAAATGATCCATATTCTTCCACAACAGGAGAGGACTTACTATTGCCTGAAGGGAAAATAACATATTATCAAAGGAAGGCATAAAAATGGAGCTAAAATTGAAGTAAAAGGACCAAAAAGTGTAAAATGAATAGGAGATGATAAAAAGGGAGAGGTAAAAGGTAGGGTGGTTTTGTTTTTCTATTTCATAAGAGGGGGATTGTAAGATGAAAATATACTTAAATTAAATGTTTCGATCGACAACTGGTACTTTGGTAGTGAGTGAAATAAATAATCGATAAGCAAAAAAAATAACAATTTTGCAATTCTCTGACATTGTTAAATGTTCAATCCAAGTGTAAAAGTTGCTTCTCTACCAAAAGACAAGTTTCCAATATGAAATCAGAGAGATTAATTGAAGTAAATCAGGCCATTTCAATCAAAATGAGTGGAAAAAAAAAACATTTGGAAGTTTGATTTCACGCTCCGTTAAATTACCCAAAGTACTACATAGTTTCATATTAAACTTTACAATTAATGAATGAATTAGTTCGTGTAATTGTAAATGATAAATAAAGATCAGTACAATTAGATCCAATCAGAAATATATTGCTGACTTCTTATACTCTTTTGAAAGCAAATTTGCAGACTAAACTTTTAGAAAACATGGATTAAAAGATTACCATATATTTCCTTTGCCATCATATTGAAGATGCGAATCAAATCTCTCCTGTTGTGATAATGAACTGGCTTTGGACATTGTTTATCATAAGTATCACAAAGAAGTGCATCTAAATCAACGATGCGTGTAGGGTCGAAATTGATCTTAGCTAATTTCTCCAACTCGAGCTTCTCCGCGGCCTTTAGTTGGTCTGACATAAGAGATAAATCAGTAATTTATTGCTTCAAAACCAATAGTGTTTGCCAATATTTGAAACAATTCAATAAATAAACAAACGGTTAGGGGAATGAGGCACTCCTAGGTAGTTGATTTCTTCAGTACTACAACCTTGTTTGGATAACAGTTTATGGACTATGAAGTAGGGACACCCGAACACAACTCCGACACTGAGACCGATAATAATTTGAAAAAATGAATAAATTAAAAGTCCGGCAGAACTTTTTTCAAAGGTGTCCGTGCAACATAGTTTATGTATATAAACTAGTTGTATAGCAACATAAAATGAAGTAAAATTGCTTCAATATAATACTGCAAAATCAAGAATATAACAGAGCAACGATTTACGGGCAGAACTAGTACTGTAAGGTTACCGATCTTGTTAAGACCTAAGAACGTAAAAAATTATAGGAATGAATTGAATTTGTTTACCTCCTTCGGGGAACTCCATCGTTGCTTCGAAACCTGAGCAAGTAAGAGAAAGCAACAGTAATTGGTTAAGCTTCAAAGAGGGAAAATTGACCAAAAAATTGTACTGGTATGCAGAGAGAGAGAGAGAGGTTATAGGGTTCGAGATTGGGTGGATCTGTTGTGAGAGAAGTACTTACGAAGAGAAGCAGCGGCGCGCGCAGAGAGCGAGAGAGCAGGGAAATGATTGGGGGGAGATGACGGGTGAAAGTACGAATATAATCTTTCTGTTGGATTGGATTCGTTGACGTTTCGGCTTTATTTCGCAAAAATTGTATTTTCCTTTCTTCTGATTATTATTTCAAAGAAATAAAAATATACATATATGGTAAAATCAATCTCAATTATTAATTAGTAGGATACCTTGCGATTTTAAAGAAATAAAAATATACATATATGGTAAAATCAATCTCAATTATTAATTAGTAGGATATCCATGTGATTTTAAAGAAATAAAAATATACTATATGGTGATCTGACTTGATCAGAAGAGGACCAAGGACTTGGCACACGCCGTGTTGAGGAAAGGAGATGAGTGACAGCAAATACAGAAAAGGGTAAGAAGAGAATACCTGATCCTCTTGTGAAAGAGAGTATTTATAGAGAGACTTCAGCGCAGGGTCAACAGTCATTTGAGTTGGGCTGGATGGTCAGGCCCAACCCAAGTGACTGTTATGGCTTACGTGGCGTAGTGAAGATCAGGACGTGGTCTTCGCCCTAGTCCAACTGTCCCGTGATCTCCGGAAAATTGGTTTGACCTGCTCTTTCGGAGGTGGACAGTTGGTTGGTGACGTGTCCCCGCGGAGGGGTGCACGTGGAGAACATGTGGATGACACGTTGTTCTGCCCAACGGAGGGAAGGTTATGCCCGACGGGGGCAGTGTCTGGTCGACGGGGAGTCTTGTGCTCGACACAGATGAGAAAGGTTCTGTCCGACGGGACAGTGTCTGATCGACGGGGAGTCTTGTGCTCAACACATATGAGGAAGGTTCTGGTCGACGGGGAGTCTTGTGCTCGACACAGATGAGGAAGGCTCCTTTGGACCTTCCCCCAAGTGTATGTGGGTTGGGCCTTCCCGGTCAGGCCGGGACCCAGGCCAGAACATATGGTAAAATCAATCTCAATTATTAATTAGTAGGATACCCATGCGATTTTAAAGAAATAAAAATATACATATATGTTAAAAAAATAAAATAAAAATGAAAAAAAATTAATTTATTATTTTTAAAAAACAAGACATATTTTAATTTATATACAAATTATAAATATAATATTTTCATATATAAAAATATTTAAATAACTGTATATTTTCTATATGTAATATTATTTTTGGTTTTATATTATTATAAAAAAAATGGATGAAAAAAACTTGTTCTCATTTTAAAAAAAATCACTTATTAATTTAAAAATAATATTTGTCATTAATAATATATATTAATAAAAATAAATATTAATAACATAAATAAACACATTTAATTATATATATTAGTAATATATGTATAAATAACATTAGTAACATAAACAAATATATTTTACTCATGTTTGGATTCATATATTTTTATTTTATTTAATTATACAAAAATATATAATAATTCGTGTATTCCATACTCTTGTGTTTGCATAGATACTAATATTACTCGCATTTGTTTTTAAAATATAATAAGAATAAAAAAATAGAAAGACAATTATTTAACAAATAAAATTTATTATTTTTAAAAGAAAAACATATTATTAATTACATTTTGAACATAAATATAGTTTTTTCATACATACAAATATTTGGATATTTTGTACGTAAATATTAATTTTGTTTTTTTATTATTTATAAAAATATTTATAGAATCATTTAGTTTTATAAATATCAACTAATAACATAATACTTATAAATATTGTTTTAATTGTATAAATAAATATTAGTAACATAAATAAATACATTTTGTGTCTTTTTAGATTTATATATTATTTTAAATATATTTAATTTTTTTAAAATTATACAAAAGAATGTAATAATTTGTGTGTTCGCAAGAAATCTTGTTTGGATACTCGCACGTCCGCACAAATACTGATGTATTACACACATTTGTTTCTAAAATGTGATAAGAATGAAAAAATAGAAAGGAAAAAAATATTTAACAAACAAAGTTTATTATTTTTAACAGAAAACATTTTTTTGGAATAAAAGAATTTATATTAAATTCCAAAAGTTAATACACCACACGGCAATTCGTAGACCCGACCAACTACACCAAACTACCAACTAACAAACCCAAAACTTAAGGCATCATTAACATGCTAATATGCCTCCTTAGGTTGGGTCTTTGCCAACATTTATAAACTATAAAATTAATAATTTTAGGACCAATATTATTTATCCTTATGGTTTCTCCAAAGCAAATCTAATTATAACACCGCCACGATTCATAGATCGTTTTCGCAAACGCACATTTTAGAACTTTGCTTTTAAAATCTGGTTGTTATAAGGCAATTAATACACCTTGCTCTAGCATACTTCTCATATCTGCTAAAGATCAATTTTATTATTTTGCTTTATTTTCTTACTGTTAGTTTATCATTTGCAAACCAAATCATAAACTCCAAGTGTTTTTTGTTTAATTGGAATATTATTAGAACTCATAATCATACGCAGTTCTCGAAATCGTAACTAGTGGATAAACCCTTATTTTAACTACATCAGAGAAAATAGTACACTTGTTATTCTACCGATTAAGTCTGCCTGACCAGATGAACGATTGACGTTGATTTGAAGGCCTTGAGGCGCTAATGAGATCAATCTGGACTCAATCAGCTCTTGTACTTGGTACTTCAAGAATTTACATTCCTCGATCGTGTGCCCGTGTGCTCCAGAATAGAATACACATCTGACATTTGCGTCATAGCCTAGAGGAAGAGGTGTTGGAGGAGGACCAAGTTCCCTTAGCTGAACCATTGAGTTACTAAGTAACAATGGAAGAGTTAATTGTATGACATAGAAATTGGGTCAAAGTGTTTCTCTGGCCTCCTTGGTCTATTCTGGCCTTGTTGAGTGAAGTTTCGCAGCTGATCTGGATACTAATTATGACTCTACACTCGATTCCTCTGACCTAACTGAGGAACATGTAATGGTCGTTGATAGGGACGCTTTGGAAGTCCGAGTGGTGGGTTATGTTCACGAGGCATCTCCTGACTTGAGGGGGACTTAGGCATTTCCAATGAAGCGGGCATCTCCGTGGCAGCAGTTAGTGCAGGGTTACCTTCCTTCCTCATCAGCGTTTGCAGTATCTTCATAACTAGGTTCATTTGAGTCTTTAGTTGTTTGACATCCTCCTTCAACAGTTCTTAGCCTTTCTGAAGCTCTTCCATAGTGATTTGAGACATGTTTCTAATTCTGAGCGTATGTCGAGAAATCAGCTAGCTGGTTAGAAACAGAAGGTGGTATTGAGGTTTTTTTGTCATTGATTGGAGAATGATATGCAACATTATGCATAAATGCTTATGCTTATGCAATGTTATGAATGCATGCTTGAATCAAGCTCACAATACAAGGATCAAAGGTCACAGAATATGAGGACCACACAACTAGATACCTCTCACCTTGGGTAGGCAATTTATTGGTTTACAACAGAGCATTCCAGGGGCTTTCAAACAAGGTCCCGTGCACTAACCCTCAAAAGTTTTCCATTATAATGATAATTCGTAAGACAGTAATCTCTTCAAAGGATGAGCACAGAGTTATGCCTTAGTAACCTTTGGAATAGGGTTCTACTAAGGTCCTCAGAATCACAGACTCCCATGTCAGAAACAAAAATGTTGTTACGACTGCTCGTAAGACATAACCATTCCCAAAGGGGCCTTCCTGAACGGTGGAAGTCAAACCAACTCAACGAGTCCTAAGTCTCGCAAATCAGAAAGCAACCACCTTTTAGCTTAACGTATATTGGAAAAGCTTGGGCAGAAAGCCTTTCTCCTCAAAAACCATCCTTAATAAACCCAACAGATAAGAGGAACACAAATAAAGCAATAAAACAATAATGAAAACAAACAATCCACACATGCGACAAACAAAACTAGGTTTGACTTGCTAGGGTGAACTAGTCACCAGCAGAGTCGTCAGCTATCGCTACTAAAAAAATGCAACGACGTCAAAAGGAAAATAGAAGAGTCGCCATCGAACTTTATTTATCCAAAAATAGGGAAGGTAAACATCAAGGAAACCCCAAAAAGAAAAGAATGAGATGGTCTCGCAACCAAAAGATGGATTCGGAAGCCGGTTATACAAGGGGAAGGTATTAGCACCCTTTGTATCCATCGTACTCGATAGGAACCATTCGTTTATCTTTTGTGTCAGGATATTTGCTAAAGGATTATTGCTAAGAAAAGTATTCTGAGAGAGAGAGTGAGAGAATGGTAAGAAACAAAGATAAAGAAAAGAAAAGGATGGAAACAAAAAGGGGGTTCGATAGGACTTCACGGTCCTATGCCTACGTATTCCCTTATGCAATGTGTAACACCCTTTACTACCCCACAATTAAAGGGCAAAATATTCACATATATTAGAGTAAAATATTAAATTCAATAAAATCACCTCAAAGGGCGTACATTTCCCAATAAATCAAATATAAGTCAAAGCTCCGTAAACAACGGATTTTTCCAAAAGATATCAAAAATTGCAGCGGAACTCAAAAAGGCATAATCCAAAGTTTTCCTTATACGGGAACATAATCAAAATAACCAAATCAAATAAATCATGGTTTAACTCAAAGACCACAACCCGATGTTACACTATCAGAGCAAGACCCTCTACGTTAACCAAAAGGCCAACAACTCAAAACTTTAAAAGCCATCGACGACGTCCACGGTTAAACCTGATCATCTGCATGTTACCCACGTGGAGGCAACATTCAAACAGGCAGGGTGAGTAAAACGATTCATAATAATCAATGTAGGAAATCAACATATAAAATGGCGTTATTTTCATATTCAACAT